TCGCCCCCGGCCAAAGGTAAGAACTCCCCGCCCCACCTCCCCCACCTCGAGACTTGGGGGGGGCCTCAGCTCCCCGCCGCCTCCCCAGGTTGTCTGGTCCCCGGAGCGCCAGAGACGCCCGGGTGGGCGCGGGGGGCATTTTTCTCCGCCCCGGAAAGGAAGAAGGCGAAGAGCGACGCTCCGGAGTCGGGTGCGCTCGGGCCCCCGCTGCACCGGGTCGCGGCGACCGACTGGGGGGCTTCGTCCCGCTCGCCTCGGCCAGTTCCCGGGAAGGATGCTGCGGGCTCCTGCATCCTCGCCATCAAATAATTGAGAAGAAGTGGACGTGTCAGGAAGTGGCCTCTGCGACGGGGAGGCACGCGAGGTGAAGAGAGAGACCCAGGAGCCACGAGCAGTGTGTGTATGTGTGTGTGTGTGCGTGCGTGTGCGTGTGTGTGTGTGTGTGTGTGTGTGTGTGTGTGTGTGTGTCTGGCGCCGGGCTTGATGGACTCCCCAAGCATCCTTGGCAGCGCCCGGTCCTTCCCCTAACCCTGCTTCTTATTGCGGGGTGCTGAAAAAGTCCAGAGGGTTCTTTGGACGGAGCCTGTAACCGCTAGCAAAATTCGGAGGGCGCCCCGTTAGGGTCAGGGGAGCAGTGTCACCAGGTGGATCATAAACGCCAAGAACTTTTAATGACTCTGCGTCCCCTGATCATTTTCCCCCCTCCACTTTCCAAGGGGGAGTTCTTTACCAACCAACACTATCTAGTGGAGGCTTGAGATCATTATTTTCAGTTTAGGGACTCTGTCGTATTAGGAAACTTGCCACTCTTCTCCTTTTGCTAACACACCGATTAACCTTCTCTTACTCCTTCATCTTCGTGCTGTAAGTATGGTGTTATCAGAAATTACCCTGAGGAGTCATTTCATTTCACATGAGATGATCTTTTGAATCTCAATCTTTAGTTGCTGCAAGGGAGACACTGCTATTTCAGCCTTGATTTGTCTAAGTTCAGCACCTTGTAACTTTTTCTAGAACCCATTCCTGGAACCACTAAAGTAGCTTCTATTGGCCCTAGGAACTTACTAGTGAAGCAAGTGAAATTAAGTATGCAGAAGGAAGGATATGAAAAAATAAGGGGTCCCTAGAAATATTACCTGGTTTTTCCCCCCTCTTTAACTCCATTGAGTATGGCACAGGGCACAGGCTGAAATTTGAAAAAGAAAAGATTTCAGGCCCTTTACAGCTGTTCCAGTTCAGTTTCTTAATTTAGTAGACTTCTTTTAGATATCTTAAAATGAATTGAAACTCAAATGTCATTAAAGAGCATAAATGCCTGCAGAATCACAAGAGATCAGATCACAATAGCATTCGTAGTTAAGAGTGAAGTATGCAACAGTGTGGTTTGAACCAGTATTAGTTTTGACTTCATTCTCTGGCACTTCAAACGCCATGGATGAACAGCCTGTTTATTTTTGCTTAGCAGCAATACAACAGACCACATGCATGGGAGAATAGGTCAGGTGTTACTATAAGATGGGATTTCTCAAATGTCACATAACAGCAGGACTTGAGAGACAAGTCAAATGAAACCCCTAGAAAGAATTCCATGAGAAAAATTTAAATGTAGAAATAACAAGAACTTTTGAAATTTAGGTGGTCCTTGATGTTTAGTTTTTCTTTCTTGCAAAAGGTATAAGCTTTGTCTTTTAAGGATTTTGCTGTTAGGATTATTACACACTTGTACATGCCCCAGCAGGTGGCAGCTAACTAGAATAAGATTCATTTTCACTGGGTGGATAGGAAACTAAAATTGCTTCTCAAGTAATAGTGCCCAAGAATAAGAGGTCATTAGTGTCAGTAAATATAAAAATACTGTGAAAGATGAAGCTAATGGCTTCTTGTCTTCCTGTTGTTGTTGCAATAAGCTTTGTATGAGCATGATATGTTTCCTTTTTATTTTAGCTAATTTATCACAGGTTTTATATTTCTCCATGTTAGCACACAGTAGTTTGCTTTTTTATTCGTGCTTCTTAAACACAGCTCCACTCCCTGTGTGCATATATATGTGCATTTTCAGTTTGTCATCTCTGCTTTGACCTTGGAACCTACAGAGCTTTGGCTCTTAGAAATAAATGTTGCCATATGGTCAACATGAGGGGAAAACACATGAGACCATATAATAAAGTATATAAATTTCACTATCTAAATGCATGTAATCATATGACACCAAATGAAGTTGTTTTTCTCTAGGAAAGGAGCAAATTACAGAACTGACACTTTTAAGAGAAAAATATCAGATCCATGACTATACAGTATCTTTATCAGTCCTTCATATAGTTCCAGAACTATGATGCATGTTTTTAGCATTGGAGAAAAACTTGTGATAATTCCAAATTACTATATATAAGGTATCTTTCACACCACTAGATATCCTCTGGATAGGGAGGTAATTTTAGGAATTCTGTTATTGTTACTGTGTATCTGGAAGCTTATTTTTGTCCTGGGAATGAGTAAAGTTTAATGAGAAAAAAATTAATATGATTATCCTGATAACAGATGGAAAACTGGAGGTGGAGAATTTGAAAGCAGTAACTAATTGTACATTTTAGAAATGTCTTTAGCCACTGAACATTGACAGCATGTTATTCAATATTCTGAATTCTTGGTGGTCTTTTATGGAATTTTTGTACAGAGAGACAAATTATTGCTCATAAGGGAACTCACAGTTAATATAAGTGGCTTTTGTAGAGGTATGCCTTGGAAAAGGATCATGTTTGCACATCCTTACTATACCAAGCAATCCCAGTAAGTCACAGTGAAATATAAATATGACACAATTGACAAAATAGTCCTCTTGACAGTGTGAATGGTGCAATCATTCAGATTCCCAGACTCAGTGTACTAGAAATGTACACAGTTACTTCAAATGTCATTACATTACCAATTCATATCAATACTTTCATGTACTATTCCAGAATAAATCTCTGTGCCTGGGGTGCTGTCCACGGTCCTGAAGAAAGGTTTCTCTTGCAGAAGTTCAATTGGACAGGTGGAGTTGCTTGCTGACTGTTGTGTTGAAACCTCTTAGATCAGTTGATGTGTGTATAAATAAATCTAGTTTAGCATAGGAGCAAAAATAGTTCATAGTAAGAACAACTTAAGACAGTCTTAAAACTCTTTAATTTACTGTCTAAGAACATTGTGAATCTCGAAGCTTAAGCTTTCACTTTTGAAGCCAGATATCCAGTAAATAATCCCTCATAAATTAGTTAGAATGCCAGTTTTAAGGAGAGGTTACTACCGCAATGTCAGATACCAATGTGGACAGAATATATGAACAAGTAGTTCTGAAATAATTTATTTTTTAGGTTCTATTAAATGCCAACTACGTAGCAAAATGCAGCATTTTGAGTAAATCACAATAAAACATGTTATTTTGGGGTATTGTATTGTATTGTATTGACAGATGTAAAAAAATAAGACTATTTATTGTTTCCCTGGCAGTCATTGTATCTATGCTATGATCAAAAAGGGAAAGAACATATTTAATTCGGTAAATGAGGCAGCAAATACAAGACTGAACATATTGGGCTGCACATGCCTTCCAAAAGATATTTTAAATATGGTCTGAAGGAGTCGCTAGATACCCTTGATCCTAGCACAAGGTGTTCTTTTAAAAGTGCTCCAACAGTCAGATTAGCCGACTGAATTGCCTGCTACCCTGCAGAACTAGCCATTCATGATACTTACTTTTGACACTGCAGTTATGCCTCCATCTTTTAAAATGCAACTGTAATGCCCTTGCAAAATGTAGGTTTATTTCCAAATCACTATTTTATAAAGACTTAAGGAAACATAAATTGAAAAAAATCAGTGTAGTGGAATGGAACCATTACAGCGTTTTGCTATCTTGAGGAAATAGTACTCATATCCCTCATTATTAAAAAAAGAGATGTCCTTCAAACAAGAGATGATCTTATTTTGATAAGGTTTAACCTAATCTCTGTTGGTTATTTTAAAAGATTCAGATATAGTTCCTGCAGTTTACCTTTCATGCTGCTTGATGATTTAAAATGTTAATATGTTATAATATATCTATTACTCTTAGTTTTACTGACTAATCTAAGATATTAGGTTTGGATACTTTTATATATATTAACAATAGCATGTATATAATTTCAACAATAAAATGTACTTTAGTGTTAAAATACATGTATTTTTATTCTTTGAATAAGTCACTACTTATAAAAGCCAAGACAGTTGCTCCTGGGAATTCTAAATGTTCTGACTGAGAAAATAAATTCTAAATGTTCTGAATGAGAAAATAAGAGCATTTTTACTATGTCTCACAATGTTGCTCAAGGTCTGATCATATATTCCACTTATTGATGAAGAAATGTATTCTGCAGCCCAAATGATGAGAAATTTTTGCATAAATTATTGATGACTATAAAGTTTGCCACATTAATGCGAACAGTTTTGCTTGTAACATATGCACAATTATATTCTATGGCATAAGAGAATGTGGGGAAATGACCCTTTGCTTTTTCTTCAACTTGTACAAGGCCACAGAAGAAATCTAAATTTATTCCTTACTAGTAATCAAAAATATTCCACTCAAGTTTTTAGACTATCTTTACCTCTTCTACAACATTTCAGTCTTTATTTTTGAAGTATGAATAAGACCTCATCTTAAACTTAAGTAACATTTGCGATAAATCCCTGTGTGTTTTACCACTTTTTTTTCCTTTTTAAAAGTATCTCCTTTGACTGAGCTAGTCAGTTATTAAAATTTATGTTGATTGTAAGAAATTCGCTTGTATACATCACACTTAAATGAGACTTAATGAAAATAAAAGCACTTTTCTCCATGTGAATAAATCTGACTTAGTTCTCACAACTCATGGCAGAGGATCAGATCTGTTGCATAATAGATATTGGGAAGCTCTCTCTGGCAGGGAGCCTTAAAAGGCAGGCAGCTATCTCAATTTTTCTCACTTAATCTTGGCTTCACGTCAGAAGCTGTGCAGCAGTGCAGTAGAATAGGGCCTGGCAAAACCTTTGCGAGCAAAGAGTCTTTTGTACTGGGACTGTGGCTCATTACTGACACCTCGGCCGTTTCTCAGGCTGGATTTCCTATTGATTTTCCTCTTCCTTTTCTCCCCCAGGCTCGCGCGGCCGGACATTGTGGGTGTGCGTGCAGGATTTCTCCCGGATGCTCCCCGACTAACATGGATGTCCCACCATCCCTTGCAGTGGAAGGTTGCTCCTTGGCGCAGTGACTGAAGAACATGCAGCGATTGCTAATGGGTTTGGGAAGCGGAGACTTCTTCCGTCTCTCTGTGACCATGCCGTGATCGCGTCTGCGGCCACCACTCGACGCATCTTCATTCCTGCCCGAACCGGGAGCCTAACGCTAGATCGGGGACGTGGGTGACGCGGGTGTGGACACAGAAACACCATGAAGATTATTTCCCCGATTCTAAGTAATCCAGTCTTCAGGCGCACCATTAAACTCCTGCTCTGCTTACTGTGGATTGGATATTCCCAAGGAACCACACATGTATTAAGATTTGGTAAGATTTCCCCATCCTTTTTCTCTGGCTTAGTATCCGCCTCCGAGAGGCTGCCGGATGTAAACAGTCGGGATCGCTGCTCTGCTGAGTGGTTGGGCTCCAGGCATTCCGACCTGTTCACTGCTCGTCGCCCCCCTGGGGTTTTAAAAAACCCCTTTGTGCTCCCCCCTCCTTAAGGATTTCTTAGGCGGGAGGAAGAAGTGAGTGCCAGCATGTGGTAGTGGTCCAGGCGTTATATTCTCACGTTAGCCTGCCAGAAATTGTGATGCCGCTTGGGGGCACGGCCGGCGCGCTCTAGAGCTCTAGTCTCTCTGGGAACCTTCTGGGCTAGGTGGGTTGCACGGTCTGCAAGATCCAGCCAGCTAGCCAGACCCCACGCTTCTCCCAGCTTCCCGGCTGATGCTGTGAGATAGTATCTGGTAACTCTTTGATGAGTTGGCCTGCCCGCCCCAACCCTCATCCACACTGCCGGACAGGTCCACACGTGCAGTGAAGGACACTAGACCCTTTGATTTCTTTTCAGTGTGTTTTTTTTTTTGTTGTTGTTGTTGTTGTTAATGTCACCATTTTCCCACTCCTTGGTCCTCTCACTGGGACTCTGGAGTTTTTAAGCATGTGGTTGTCAGGCTGCAGATTCTACTTAATCAGGGGAAGCTGCTGCTTAGATGGAGTGTAATAGCATCAACAGAAAGGGTTTGGGGCTTGTTTTTAACTCTTGATGTTGCTCTCCTAGTGGTTTCACGAAAAGTCCTGGGCAAAGTCCTGGTCTAATAAATGATTGGCGGGAAAGATTGATGTGCAGGGTAGTTGTATGGAGTCCAAATCTGTTTTGTCATTTCACTGTTAGGATAAAAGAATCAAGGTGGTATTTGTGTATGAGAGAAGCTTCTTGCTTTTCATGGGAGACTGGGTTTCCTGGGGGCCAGAGGGAAAACCTAAGTGTGGGACTTCACTGAAAATAGTGGTCAGAAGGTTTGCCCGGAGGAAATGAAGCATGGACAACTCCTCTGCCCTTAATGGTCAGTGGAGTTTTAGTAGGAGCAAAACTGGCAAGGGAAAGTTCCCTAAAGTAGATAAGAGCTAGAAAGGAGAAAGCCAACAGGATAAGTGCCCCTAACCCTGGTGCTTCCTTTGACAGTTCAAATGTATTTGGACCAGAGTTCAGGAAACCATATAATCCTGAGTCTGTCTTTTGAGATAAAAGCAGATACATTAAATCACTCCGGAAATTTAAATCTGTAAAGATTGTCTGCATCTCCTAGTATGTGGACATTATCTCCTCTCTCTCCTTTCTTCCCCCGTGTACTTTTTAATTTTTTTAAATAAAATTTATTGCCTCTCCCAGGGAAGAAATATTTTGTGAAAAATTTTGTGAAACCAGGGAAGAAATATTTTTTATGTATCAGAAAAGGGAACCCTAATTTAACCCACCACCCAAAACATAGGCACCTGGACTTCATAGGATTGGTGATGGCTAATAATAATAATAATAACAACAACAACAATAATAAAGTTGTAGCTAGATTCCTTTTGTAGTAGTTCTTTGCTTTTCTTCATGCTTGTAGATGGTAGTTAAATATGTTGCTCTTAGCAACCAGCATCCATAGGAAAGCTTGCTTGTTTCTTTGGATGAGACAAATAGGTCTCTAACTGGAAATGCTTGTGTGTGTAGGTATTCAACTGTTCTGCTGCAACTGTGGTAAGTGCTATAGTATGGTTTGCCCAGTGTTTTGAGAAGTACTTACCTACTTGTCTGTAATATTGAACTATCTTCTTAAGTATATTGTGAATGAATGTGCCTTAGTGTGTCAGTGTGGGAAAAAAAGAGCCTTTGAGTCTGAAAACTGCCACCAATACTCTATAAAGATTTAATTATTGCTGCTCTGGTCTTGCAGCACAATATTTGCTGAATCATTAGATTGTTACATTCGCTGATCATTTCAAATCTTCATATTAAAAATCTTGGCGGTTATAGCAGTGTGTAGCAGTTTTCCAAAACAGCTGACATACAAACACACGCACACACACACACACATTTCCCTAGACCAACACACACACATTTCTCTAGACCACTGCTTATTAAGTTTTCTTTGAGAAATATAGAAGTAGCCAAAAACCTTCCCACCAGTCCCTTGACAACCTAACAAACAGCCTTGTTTCTAGATAACTTGTTATTTTTTCCCCATTAACTTCAAACCTCTTCCACGTGGAGATCCATTTTCTCTGATTTTCTGACCTGAGTTGTGGGGAGGGGACTGTGTACAGTGTAATCATTGGAACATTTCCCTGTTGGGACTATTTTGATGCAGTGATGGGAGTTTTATTTTCTTCCAGAGAAAAGATGTTTTGAGTGGTAGAGCGCATATAACCCACTCTTCATAGAGGTTATTTTCGACATGAGCTCAAAAGACTGAACCAGAGCCTCAGCCTGGGCTGGTGCGGATGGGACTGGGTAGGACCAGCAGCTGCTCCCGAGCAGTGGCCCTCCAGGTGCGGGTGAGCTGGGCTGCCTCTGTTGGGGAAGTGGCATCCAGCCCCCGTCCTGCTTCCCCCCCTTCCCCTGGTCTGGCTGGGCGCCGCCTGCAGCCTCGTGTCGCTGCCCGGGAGCCATGGCAACCGTGCAGCCGCCGAGCTGCCCAGCCCCACCCCTCCCTTTCCCGTGGGTGGTGGCAAACCGCCCTGCCCGCCTCTGTGCTGCGCGCTCCACTCCCCGGCTCCGTCTTGGACTTATTGAAGCGACGTCCTTCACCCGCGTCCAGGCTGCCGGGAGAGCCCTGCTCAGGATGCTACCGACCTCAGAGTACCCTGGCACCCCCGCCCCTCTTCTGCTGGCAAAACTCCTCTCCCTCCCACCCTCCCTCCCTCCCTCGCTCCCCGCCCCCAGCCCCTCTAAACCTGCAGGCACCGACACACGCGTGGATAAACACGCGCTCGGGAGCACCAAGCCCGACACATGGGCACAACGACTCTTCTCCAGTGCCCAAGCAAACTTCCTGCAATCGCTCCCGGGAGCGGGTCGGTCCCAGTCCGCCGATCTCCGGACCCCTCCCTGGGCCTGCTTCTCCGCGGGCGCTCCTTTCCGGATCTGATCTGGGTTCCCCGAAAGCACGGGTCGCTTTCCCAGGGGGAGCATCCCCGGCAGCCCGGGGCAAGGAGGGTAGAGACGCAGGGGTCATTCCTCCCGAACGCAGCGGGCGGCCACCGAACCGTTAGTCGTGGCCTTTACACGGTCCTCCGAGACGGGCTCCGCTCCGCTGGGCTTCTCCAGGGCGCCCGTTCAGCGGACGCGTGGGCCGGGAGACCCGCGATTGTGTGTGTGGAAGTGGGTTTGGGGGGAGACCTCGGACAGTCAGAATCCATTTTCTCGCTGCAGGTCAGACCCAGCGTTCTCCTTCAGGCATTTCCAGGGGGGATGTCCCCGGAGAGACCCCAGCCGGGCACTCCCGCGCCCCTCGTCCTTGCGCTCCGCAAACCTGGCACCTTTGTGTGCAGGCAGATGCGTCCCAGCCAAGCTTGTCCTGACGAGCCGCGGGAGAGGGTGAAGGCAGCATCCTTAAATAGGCGGCGGATGGCTGTGGGCCCCCAACCCCAGTAGTCTCCCAGCCCAAGTTTGTAAGCTCTGAGCTAGCGGAATGTTTCTTTTGTTACTTTTGTTACGGGTCTTTCCAGTGAGGGTGGGCTGGGTGTGGGGAGCGAGGGAGGGAGGGAGGAGTAACTAGCTCCTGGGAAGCTGAGTGCAGGGCTGGCAGCACCATAAGGCTCTTGGGCGTTTTGCAAGACTCTCTCTTCCGAGACACCCCTGATTTCCCATCCCTGAGGTGGGGTTCTTTTTCAAAGTTTAGGAGCAAAGACATCCACCCCAACTTTCTTTCAAAGTCTCAGGGGCTGCCTCAAGACAGTCCTTTCCAAGTTGCTAAGCTTGTGCTAGGGCCACTCGTCCTTGCAGGTTTTTCTTTTTGCCTCCCAGTTTTTCTCCTAAGCATGCCAGCAAGAAGGCTGGGCTCAAAGGCTTCCCAAGGCCAGCTCCATACCTCCCCACCCCATCCCTAGCCCTTGCAGTGAACAACCTCCTGGGTTCCTTGCACTAGCCACAGGTCTACTCCCTGCTCTCAAGCTGAAGTCAGTCTACCTTCTCAGGGACTGAACAGCAGATAAAAGCCCTGGCGTGAGGGGAAGCAGAAAGGATTCCTATGGAAATAAATCCTTCCAATTTGCTGGACCTCCCCTGTGTTTCGAGAGATAATAATTAGCAGCAGATGTACTACAACTTTGAGTAATGTGAGAGAATTGACTGAGCTTAGAGGCTGTCACTCTGTAAATTCTTTGAAAGAGATTTTTCTTCCTATGGGGGGGTGAAGTGGGCGGCAGGGAGGAGTGGTTATACATTTGGAAGCGGAAACGGACTCTGGGGAGGCGGGGAAGGGGGAGTCCTCCTGCTCCTGCCTGAAACTGATAAAGCCACAACACCTGCTCTCCTGAGCTCTGGGTGGCAGCGGAGGGAAATCTTTCCAAGAATCGCCAACACAGCAGCCACACTTAAAACAACAAACCCCCAAATCTGTTTTTCCCCCCACCTAAGTTCTCAATTTTTCTTAAAGCTTCAAAGAATAACTCTGATGTGATGTGATCCATCAGTGGAGGCACAATCATTTCAAAATAGCGACTTTGAAAAATGATCTTTTCGTCCTCTAGAAATAGCACCCCTGTACCACCCAGACTCAGGGAACTCAGCACATTTTCAAGCTTTGTGAGGCTGTCTCTTAGAAGTGAACAAGGGTTTATATGTCAGTAGACATTTCTTCGGACACCGTTTGCGTTTTGGTTTAATTCAAGTGATCATTGCAGTGTGTTCATTTCCAGAATTCTCAAATGACACTGTTTCAACATTTACTCAGCACAGGCAAGTTAATGTGAATCGCTCCCACACAAAGAAGGAACACAGAGACCAAATGCTGGATGTAACATTGATTACCAGAGCCTTTTAAGTCTATCCATTAACT